TTTGGGAGAAATCCCCAGTCATTATTATTTTAAATATTTAGTTCTTTTCTCTCTTTCCTTTTCTGTATTTGCATTTCATGAGAATTAAACCTTTTATAGTGCTTCAGTTTTTAGACACTCTGTTCTTTTTTTTTAATCCCCTCAGTCTTTTTTCTTTGCTTTTTAGTTTCGGAAATTTCTCTTGTTTTATCTGTCAGTTCAGATTTGTGTCCTCGGCTGTGTCCAGTCTACTAGTGAGCCCACCAGTGAGCCCTTCTTCATTTCTGTTAGGACATTTTTGATCTCTTGCATTTCTTTTTAAGTCTAAGAATTTTTATCTTACCACTTAATATTTTCCGTCTGTTCTTGCATGTTTTCTATTTTTTTCATTAAAGCCTTTACCATATTAATTATGGTTTTAAAAGAATTTTGACCTGAAAACTCCAACATTTCCTGCTCTGAGTCTGGTTCTTATACTTGCTCTATCTTTTTAAACCCTGTTTTCACCTTTTAGTACGTCTTGTCATTTTTTATTGAAAGGTGGACCTGTACTACATAAAAGGAACTGCCATACACAGGTAGGCCTTTAATGACGTACAGGTAAAGTGTGGGGAGAAGGGAAGTGTTCGTGGCTCTATTATTAGGTCTCAGTCTTTTGGTGAGCCTGTGCCTGGGATGGAGAACTTCATTAGTGCTTCTGGTTTTTAAATTTTGTTTTGTTTTGCTTTTTTTTTTTTTTTTTTTTTTGCCTCTTAGGTGGTATAGGATGGCTGGAAGGAGCTGAAATTGGAAATAGTAATCCCTCCTTTCCACGGTGAGGGACATTCCAAGAACCCTAGTAGAGGGATAGAACCCAGCAGGCCCTCTGTATCCTACTGTGTTTTCCGATCTGATAATCAAGGCAGCCAGGGGACTTACAGCTGGGTGGCGTGTACAGCCGACATGTGCTGGACAAACGGATGAATGGTTCACACCCTGGCCGGGGGAGCACAATGGCGCAAGGCTTTATTGTACTGCTCAGAATTATACGCAGTTTAAAACTGATTGTTTAGTACTGGAACTTTCCAGTACATATTTTTGGGCCACAGTTGACCATGAATTGCACTGAAATTCTTAGGAAAGTGAAAGTGTGGAGAAAGGAGGACTCCTGTATTTCCTTTTCCCCGGGTAATTAGGCTCTGGTAAAGTAGTTTCTCAAGGACAGGCCTTGTTAAGACCTGAGCGCTCTCTCTGGCTTGTTTCAGGATGTCTCTCCCCTTCTTCCTGCTGGAAACATGGAAGCAGAAGGGAATTTTTCTCAGATACCCACCGTGAGGCTCTGGGAAAGTTCTGGGAGGTATGCAGGCCTCCGATGCCTGGCTCTCTCCAGATTGTGTACACCGAGCCTCTCACAAGTTCATCAGTTACAGTTTGGGTTTCCCTAACCTCACACCATTCCCACAGAGGCTTTTCCTCATGGGTTTCTATTAAGCTGAGATTGATTCTCTGTGTCTTGCCTGTCTTTCTCCAGTTTTAGGGATAGTGGCCTGCCCTGTGACCTCTCTTCTCTGATGAATCTAAGAAAAGTTGTTGATTTTTAGTTGAACTTTTCAATTGCTGTTCAGAGAGAGTGGTGACTCTTAAGCTCCTTATATGCCAGCATCGGAACTGGGACTCAGGAGCATTTTCATTTCTGTGTTTACCTGTCAGTTTCAGGTGCTGGGATATATGGGACTGGTTGGTAGGCTAGAAAGAGAATCGTTCATATCCTCTAATACAGGGAACTTCTGCTTTTTTCACTTATGTCTTTCCACCTTTTCTTAAGGTGTATTTTTTTTTCTTTTATAAGTAAGATTATCCAGTTTTGTCATTACCATAAGATCCTCAAACCCAGAATTGAACTAGATGTCTCTTCCCCTAAACCGTCTTTTCTTGTATTATCTGGATTATCATATCATCTGCCACTCGCCAAACAAGGAACCTGAGGGTTGTCTCTTTCCTTTCTTCACATGCATTCAGACTCTGAATCATGGCGGTTATACTCTGGAATTTTTTTTTATTCTGTTACCACTTCTGGTTGAAATTCTCATTGAGTTTCCCTTGATCTTTTGCAGTAATAGGGTCTATTTTTAGCAGTATTTCCCCAAATTCTGTTCAAATGTCACTTAGGTGATATATTTTAAATGTTATTTATTTATTTAATTGTATTATTATTTTTTTGAGAGAGTTTTGCTATTGGGTGGGCATGCTAGCTAGAGAGAAAGAGACAGACAGAGAGACAGAGACAGAGATCACACCCCAGGGAGCATGGCCATGCCACAGTCCCTTCTCTTCTATTCTTCTCTTGGGATCTTGGAAACACATGCACACATGCCCAGCGTGTTTTAAGCCACTGAGTCTGGGACTTGAACTGTGGTTAACTACTTGGGAGTCCAGCAACGTAACCATTACCCACCTGCTGGTCTCTATTATTATTTTTAACTTGCTATAGGGCACACATGCTTACCCTGAGAGAGACACAGAAAGAGAGAGGGGAAAAGGGAGAAAGCAAAACGCTCAAACCATGGTCGGCCATGTGGGAATCCAGTGCCTTAACTACCAACCACCTGCTGGCCTGGTGATACATTTTAAATGCATACCTGACCGTGTGACATTTTTTTTAAATCATTTCAAGTCTTCAAATGTTAAGTCTGTGGCTAGAATGCCTGCCTACCCTTCCAGAACCATCTCTGGATGTTCCCTGTGCCCTGCTGTATGTCCCAGCATCACTGAGTCCATACCTTAGCTCCTGGTCCTCCTCCCTGCCACCACGGGAGTGTGCCTCCTGCAGCTTCCCTGCCACCCTCTTTTCTCCCATTTAAAAAAACTACACACACACACACACACACATGCACGGCTTATTTATTTATTGTGGGAGAAGCACACGTGCATGCCTGTGTAACCTTTGACAGGGTCTTACCGTGCTGCAGTTCTCCCAGCAGCCTCCCGGCCATCCAGGATCACTGGCATGCCCTGCATGTTCCAGTTGACCTGGAATCTGAACCTGGGCCTCCTGTGTGACCCTAGTATTACACAGCAGCACCCTAATGTCTGTGCCACTGCAGCTAGACCCACTCTTTTACCTCATCAGTGCCTACACTTTCAAGACACAGGACAGCCATTAACCTCCTTCTCAAAGCTTTAGTCTAACTTCTGGACTCCCGTGTCCCCCAGACTGGGCTTCTGTGTGCAATTCTATGTCATCACATTTTCCTCCATTTATTCAGAATGAATGAATAACCAGCCGTGTTTGTCTTAGGCAAAATTTTAAGCACTAGAATACAACAGGTGATAAAATTAAGTTTCTACTCTAGTGGAGCTTATATTCTAAGGGAGGAAAATATATAATGAGCAAGTGCAATTGTAGTATGTCAGCAGGTGATAAGTGCTATGAAGAAAGCCAGAGCAGAGGCAGAGAGGTAGGGTGTTCTTGGGTTGGAGGGGAGGTTGCTGTCTGAAGAATATGGTCAGGGGAGGCCGCATTGGTAATAAGCTCTGAGTAGAGACCTGGTGGCAGCGAGAGCCAGCCATACACGTAGCTGAGGGACTCCGAGGAAGAAGAGTGCCTGGCCTGAGCCAAGATCAGCAAGGAAGGTAGTGTGCTTATAGTGGATGGACAGAGGGTGTGGCAGAGGTGAGGGGAGGCAGCCAGATCATGAAGGACTTTGTAGGCCATTTCAGGACTTTGGCTAGGCCTGGTAGTGGCATGGCGGTAGTGCAGCTAGCTCCACATGGGAAAGAAAGGGTGCACGTGCACATGTGGATGGAGGTGATGTGGCTGGAGGCGGATTATGGTGTGGAGACTGTTAGGGATGCCCCCCCTTCCCCTTTCTCTGTCATGAAGGAAATAAGTAAGCTTTAAAAAATGTTTTTGTTTTTCTTGAGACTAGAAGCCATTTGAGAGCAAAATGTGACAAGATCTGACACTCTAATCCTGGGTTGAAGACGGGGGTGAGGTAGAAGTAGTGCCAGAGGGGGGTGGAGGCATGGAGCTCAGTGAGAAAACGATTGCATTAATCTGGATAGAAGGCAATGGCGGCTTGGCCTGACCAGAGTGGAGTCAGTGAAGGCAATGATATGTGATTGGATGCTGCATATGTTTTGAAGGGCTAGCCCATTGTGTTTATAAGGATTAGACATAGGGTGAAAAAAAAGGAGTCAGGGATGACTTCTAGGAAGCCTGAATAACTAGAAAGACAGATTGCTCTGGAGTGGGGAAGGCGGCAGGAAGGTTTGGGCTGTGTAGGTGTGGGAAGGTTCAGAAGCCCATCAGTTCCCACTTGGAGGTGTCGAGTAGGTAGCTGGTATACATCTGGGGTTCAGACCAGAGGGCTGAGCTGGAGCTATCAATCAGAAAGCTGTCAGCATTTTGATATTTCAAAGCGAAGGAATCAGATGAGCGAGAAGGTGGAGGCCGAGGGCACGGAGGGGAGCCAGCCAAGGGAACTGAGTCACATGGCTAGCGAGTTAGAACCAGAGAACCAGGTGAAGGAGAGGGGATGACGACTTCTGTCCAGGGCTGTGCATAGCCCAGATAAGCTGAGGAGGTTGTGCTGTGAGTCCCCGCCTGCATTTGCCTCCTCCAGTTAGCTGAGAGCTCCATGGGGGCAGGAACTGCACACGGTAATGCAGCTGGAGCCTTGGAGTCAGTGAGACAGCATGTCTTCTGGTGGTTGTTTTTCCTTAGGCTGATTCTCTTCTCTGTAAGTGTCAGTCTTACCTGTAAAGTGGAAGGGAAATAATGTCATTTCCATCAAGTCATTGTGAGAATCAAATGAGATCACCCATATAGAGCAGTAAGCATAGTCCCTTTTATACTAAGCACGTGCCGATGACTATAGTCAGCCTTATTAATGTAGAGGACCTGGCAACTGCCCCCTCTCTCTTGGGCAACATGCTTTGAATGAATGTGTGAATTGTCTTTTTTGTTTGGTTAGCATTTCATTCAAGGCATTTCCCTGTGTGCTTACAAAGTCAACGTGGTATTTTGTGGGTTTCTCCAGGGCCGATCCTCACAAAGCAGACACCGGGAACAGAGAGGAAGAGACGTCCTGGGGGCAGAGTTAGCGCCATGGAGCTCCCCAACTACAGCCGGCAGCTGTTGCAGCAGCTCTACACTCTGTGCAAGGAGCAGCAGTTCTGCGACTGCACCATCTCCATCGGGACCATTTACTTCAGGGCTCACAAACTCGTCCTGGCTGCCGCCAGCCTCCTGTTCAAAACCCTGCTGGACAACACCGACACCATCTCCATCGACGCCTCAGTAGTGAGCCCTGAGGAGTTTGCCCTTCTGTTAGAAATGATGTACACCGGCAGACTTCCTGTGGGCAAGCACAACTTCTCCAAGATCATCTCTTTAGCTGACAGCCTACAGATGTTTGATGTGGCTGTAAGTTGTAAAAATCTCCTAACCAGCCTGGTAAACTGCTCTGTTCAGGGGCAGGTGGTAAAGGATACCTCTACACCATCCTCCGAGTCACTCAGGAAGGAGTCAGAGAAACCGCGAGTAGAAATCCTTTCCTCCGAAGGTGCCGGAGAACCACATTCTTCCCCAGAGGTTTCTGCCACTCCCGAGGGCCCCATGAAAGCAGAGACGGAGGAAGCCATCCAGACGGTTACCCAGGGAATGAACATGGATCCTCCCAGTGTCCAGGAGACGCAGGGGAATGCGGGAACCCCAGTGGAAGCTCCTGATACAGTTGAAGTTTGTTCTCCTTCCCCGATTGTACACACCGAACGTGACACAAAGGAGTTGAGCACAGAACCAGGTAGTAATAATTGCTCTGTAATCTGTCCTTCTGTCGTCAAGGTCTGGATTCAGTGATCTTCCTTTTTATTTCATTGATAAATTTACCATAGACCCCTGTCATAGAGGAAACCAAATTCAATTAAGTACCTTATTGGGGCTTTGCATGCACTCACCAGAGAGAGACAGTGAGAGGGAAAGTGAAAAATCATCCCCGGGGAGATGTCCATGCCATAGTCCCTTCTCCTTCATGCTCCTCTTGGGATTTTGGACATGCATTAACACACGCCTGTTTGACTTTCAAGCTGCCAGGTCCAGGACTTGAACCACTATCGGCCACATGGGGATTCCAACATCTTAAGTACCTAGCCATCTGCTGGCCTGAAGGGTATTCTTTTTTAAAAAGTGTCTTTGTTTTTGAATGTTGGAAGTCTGAAGATGAACTACAGAGCAGAAAAGCAGTGTTAAGATAACTGTGTACCAGCAGATGGCGTGGAGGTTAAGGTGCTGGATCCCACATGGCCAGCTTCTTGGTTTGAGTCCTGGATGCAGCGACTTGATCATCACACTGAACGTGTGTGTGTGTGTGTGTGTGTGTGTGTGTGTGTGTGTACACGTGTGTGTACACCCAGAATCCTGATAGGAGAGTGGAGAAGGGACTGTGGCATAGCCATCACCCCCTAGGGGATGATTTCTCACTTTCCCTCCCTCTCTCTCTCTTGCTCTCTGGCAAGAGCATGCACCCTATAGGAAAAACTTAAGAAAAAAATACTATTTCCGATAATTATCCATTATTTTAACCAGCTGAGGATGGCATAGAAGAGTCAGCTGAGCTACGTTGTCTGTTTTCCATATGTGACATGCTAAGTATCAGTTTAGTGCAGTGTCTGACCTGAAGGTTCTCCGACAGCTTGAACTCCTTTCGGCATGTTGAGTAACGAATCACTGATTTGTTTTGCTCTGTTTTATGTTCAGAATGTGAGGGGAGACATTACCAGCTGGATTTTCTTCTGGAACATGAGAGTGTCTTCTCAGCTGCACTCTTGGTTAGCCCGGATATTTTAAAAAGACTAAAAGAATGTGCAGAGATTAAAGGCCCACACAAGGAGGTAGGTATCTCTGAGTTCGGTTTGTGCTAGTTTAGTGTTCCGGATACCTTATCTCTCCACACAGCACGGAAATACAAAAACACAGAAGCTTTTTAACCATTAAGTTTTTTCTTTTTTGGGAACGTTTATTCCCTAAAGGGTGGTCTTGCAAAAGTCCACTCACAACCTGCTTTCAAAATAAAGCGATATTTTGATTGCCAGATGAATCCTAGCTTATAACCAAGTTTGATTCAGGAATGGTCATACCATTCCATCCTAATTATTAAGGGTAAAAGGAGTAAGATGGTCACGGATAACCCCAGATCAAGAGATTTTAAACAATAAAAACAAAAACAAAATAGCAACAAATACTCAAAAAACATGTATAAAAGGGTTTGATGTAAACTTACATCATAAATTATATTCATTTTTAGAAAAATAGTGGCTCTTCTCAGAATAAAGACAATGATGGTGGACATTGTTAAACACTGATACTGGTAAACTCAGTACATTTAATCGTGACAGAAATGATTGAGGTGGGTACTATTCCTTAGTCCTATTTCATGGTGGAGAAAACTGTCTCAGAGAGGGTTGTGGTGTGAGGTGGTGAAGATCTTAGAGCCCCTGCGACTCCGAGCCAGAATTTGGATCCTGAGCGTGCTGACTGCAGAGCTGCTCCGTCTCAGAGGAGTGGCACACCTCCCAGCAGGGCGAGAGTGACACACACATGTACAGTGTTCGGGAGCTCCTGACAGAACCGTGGTTCTCACACTTTATTCTTAGCTGACATGCTCTTTTCCGTAATTAATTTGAGAGACCTTCTTACCTGTGCCGGCTCTCTCCCTGAGTCTTCACGCCTGGCCCTGCAGCATTCTACCTGTCTGCCTTCCCTTTTTCCCAGCCCTGCTTCCCTGGGGCAGAGTGGGGGGCCATTGGCCATGCAGGCTTGCTCATTGACTGGGAGGGTGGTACGGAGAGGCCCTCCCATGTGACAGTTCAGTGTCCAACAGTTACTGTCAATCCAGGCAGGAAAGTGCTTGCTAATATTTACATGTTTTTCTGATTCATAGCAGGTTACTATTTTTTTTAGGTTTAGAGTGCACGGTCGCTGGAGAAAGAAAGAGGGAAAGCAAGGAATCCTCCTCCAAGGGAGTTGGACATATCACAATCCCTTCCCCTCTGTTCTCCTCCCAGGATTTTGGGGACGGATGCACATTCATCCAGCCTGATTTTTCAAGCCACCAAGTCTGGGATTCAAATTGCGGTTTGCCATGGGGGAATCCAGTGCCTTAACACCACGCCACCTGCTGGCCCACAAGTTACTTTCTAAAAAAAACCCACAGTCTATATTTAATCAAGTTAGCTATAAATTATTTTGGGGGGAATAAGCTATTTCTGAGGACGAGCTGGGCTGGCTTAATAGCACAGCAGGTAAGCTTTATGCTGAGGAAGCCAGGTCCCACATGGCTGACTAGGGCTGGGGTCCCAGGCTTGGTGGCTTGGCACACACATGCAGCCCCAGGATCCTGATAGGGTAGAGCATTGGAGGAAAAAGTACTGTGGCATGACCAGGCCCCATGAGGGGATGTCTTCTCTCCCACGTGTGCTCATGCATGCACACACGTGTATTTTTTAGCATAATAAAAGAAAATAATTTATAGTAAAAAAGAGCGAGTTAATCCTGGTGGCTCTCTAGGAGCTTTCAGTCACACATCCTTAGTTTCATATTTTTGCACTTGCATGTTCTCTTGACTATTCAAGCCATCTTTTTTATCATTAGTTCATTACTTCGATAGCTTATAGACAGACCATTTTCTCTTAAAGCTTCCTCACCACTTAACTTTGTCTGCAGAGGGGCAGCATTATTCCTTAATCGGCAATACTCGAGCTATTAGTATCGTTCTATACTTGCGACTGTGTCTTATGCACTTTTTTTTTAACAGTAGTGCCTAACAGTGTCTGGCCCAGAACAGGTACTCAAGTAAAGTCTTTTATACGTGGACTTATTCAATCTTTCTTTCTTTTTTCCCAATTCCTGTTCTAATCCTTTGATGGCAATAACATTACGAGTCCTTTAAAGGAACACCGTTTCACTGTTGGTGATCATTATAGGCTTATGTTATTTCTTTCTCGGTTTCAGGGGTCAGAATGAGAGCTCTCCAAATCACTCGGTGGCTGCATTTAAAACGGATTCTGTTACAGTACATAATAAATCTTTCAACTTCAGAGAGGGAGAGGGAAAAGATACTTTAAGAACATAAGAGTACATTAAATATAGAGTTAGGGAGATCTTGCTTTGTACTTAGGCTTCCCGCTTTTCTCTTTTCCTTTTGTATTTTCTTTTAGATATCTTTATTGGAGTATGATTGACATGTGGTAAACTGTACATATGTTAAGTGTGCAATTTGATAAGTTTTGTTAAATGCCCTGAAACTATCACCACAATCAAAATAGTAAACATACCCATCACCCCCAAGTTCCTTCATGTCCCTTTGTAATTCCTCCTTCCCATCCCCTTCTACTCACTCATACCCCCGGTAACCACTCCCCACTTTCTGCCACTATAGATGAGTTTGCATTTTCTGAGTTTTCTTTTTTTTTTTTTTTTTTGAGAGGTTTTTTCACTATAGGGTGCGTGTGCTCACCAGACAGACAGAGAAAGACATAGAGACAGAAAGCGAGAAATCATCCCCCAGGGGGGATGGTCACGCCGCAATCCCTTCTCCTCTATTCTTCTCTCGGGATCTTGGGCACGCATGCACACGCGCCCGGCGTGAGATTTAAGCCACCGGGTCCGGGACGCAAACCGCGGTCGACTATGTGGGAGTCCAGCCACATAGCCATTATGCTAACGGCTGGTTCCCACATTTTCTGAGTTTTATGTAGAGTTACATAGTATGTATTTTTTGAGTCCAATTTTTAATCAGCATTAATTATTTAGTGATTCAACCATATTTTGTATTCATTCCTTCTTACAGAATAGGGCTCCTATGTTTGGATATACAGTCTGTTTATCCAATTCCATCATTGACTGTCATTGTGACCTTGAGCAACATAATCTTTATATTATAAACTTTAGTTTCCTCATTGTGAAGTGGGAATGTTACCACATACATGATAGGGTCATTGTGAATTAATTAGGGTTATGCATATAAAACCCATAGTAAAGTGCTACAGCCACAGTAGGAACTCACTAGCTAGTAACTGCTAATTTTTTATCCATTAACTGAGTATTTTTAGACTTAATAGACTACCAGATCCCCTTTTCACACAATGCCTTGTAATATCCCTTTCCATGGTCATTTACTCTTTTATTTAAAGATCCTTTTTTTGTCTTAAGGTATATATGCTCTCTGGAGAGAGAGAGAGACAGACAGACAGAGGCAGTGAGAGAGAAAGTGAGAAATCACTCTCCTCATCCCTCCCGGGGGGATGGCCATGCCACAATCCCTTGTCCTCCATTCTCCTCTTGGAATCTTGGGCATGTAGACCCACACACCTGGAGTGATTTCCAAGCCACCAGGTCTGGGACTCAAACCACGTTTCAGCCAGGTGGGAGTCTAGCAATGTAATTGCTATGCCATCTGCTGGCCCCACCATGGTCATTTACTCTTGACACATGAGGTGGTTTGCTGTTATATCACCTCCAGCTTATTTAGTAAGGCCTGCTTTCATCAAAGAGGCACCACCATCTTCCACCTGGGAGCAGCTCCTTGGGCCTCAGGAGTGGTGTCTAATGGGAAGCAGGCAGTTTCTCAAACAACAGGGCTATGCATCTACAAAGTATCTGGTGTGCTTGCTAAAATGCATACCTCCAGACCTCATTTTCAGAAAGGCCGACTCTTAGGTTGTGGTAGAGCTTGGGAATCTCCATCTTTACCAAGTTCCCCATGGGTTGCCGTTTCAGTGTCTGTAGACCCCTTGGAGAAGCACTGTTAGAGAAGACAGTGGCTCACAAAGCCGGCTGCGTACGAGGGCAGGTGTCATGCTGTCTGTGCCGGCACCTTTCATGGCACGAGGACACGTTTTCCCAAGCATTGCTCTTCACTTACTCCTTGAGTCAGGACGTGTTCACTGCGTGCCATGTGTGCCAGGCACTGAGCTGGTGGCTAGGAAAGGAAGACGTGGTCCCTGTCCTCACAGTGTCTAGACAGCAAGGAAGGTCTGCCACGGGTGTGATTATTTTGGTGGGAAGTGTGCACAGGAGTTACCAGTTTCAGGACTGGAGTCGTTGTAAGGCTTCAGGATGAGAGCAAGTAAGAACCATCCACTTGAAATAACACTGGTGTGTCTGTTTCAGTACAACTTCAGAAGCTGTTTGGGTTTTTTGTTTGTTTATCTGTTTATGCATTTTTGGTTCCCAAAGCACTTTGGGTTTTTTTTTTTAATATTCAATTGAATGTATTTAAAAGAAGCATGCAACAGCTTTATTTCAAAGTGCTAATATTCTATAATATACCAGAAATTACATTTTCAACTATTGAAATTCAAGTGATAGCTGTCAACTTAAAAATATGTGAGGGAATCTTTTTTTCAAAATTCTTTGATACACAAGCAAAATATTTGGAAAACCATTGCTTTATACACATTAATTTTCACTTTATCTTGTGATTTGTTAACATTTCCCTCTTACAAAGGAGAATACCTGAAGGCCTGGAGAAGTCAAGTAATTTGTCTAAAGTCATCAGGCCATATTAGCTTAAAGGCATATAAGAGATGAGACCTTTTTTTTTTTAATTTTTAAAACATTTTTTAATTTTTTTTTTTGGAGAGTTTTTTTTGTTGTTGTTGGTTTTGTTGTTGTTGTTTTTGTTTTGTTTTGTTTTTTGCTATAGGGTGCGTGCGCTTGCCAGGCAGACAGAGAGAGACAGAGAGACAGAAAGCAAGAAATCACCCTCCAGGGAGGATGGCCACGCCGCAATCCCTTCTCCTCCATTCTCCTCTTGGGATCCTGGGCACGCACACACACACGCCTGGTGTGAGTCTAAGCCTCCGGGTCTGGGACTCGAACCACGGTCGAC